CAAAACAAAACAAAACAAAAAAAAACCACTTGGAGAGGGCTGTAAAGCATTGTGAAGAGGTATATAAGTCTAAGTGATCTATCTAGCTATCATTTCTATCTCTATTCTATCATCTATCCCTCTATCCCTCTATCCCTCTATCCCTCTATCCTTCTATCCCTCTATCCCTCTATCCCTCTATCACCTATCTATAGTGGTACAGTGATTAGAGTGCAGCACTGCGGGCTACAATTTGGCAGTTGATATCTCACCAGGCTCAAGGTTGACTCAGCCTTCCATCCTTCCAAGCTCGGTAAAATGAGGACCCAGATTGTTGGGAGCAAGAGGCTGACTCTGTAAACCACTTGGAGAGGGTTACAAAGCACTGTGAAGTCGTGTCTAAGTGCTATTGCTACTGCTATACCATCTCAGACAAAGGGTTGCCCAGTCTCTTCTTAAAAACCTCCAGTGATGGAGCACCCATAACTTCTGGAGGCTAGCTGTTCCACTGGTTAGTTGTCTTCACTGTTAGGATGTTTTTCCTTCATTTCATGTTGCTTCTCTCCTTGATTAATTACATCCATTGTTTCTTGTCTTGCCTTTGGAAAGAAAAAGCATTGCTGATACAAATTTGTCCTCGGGACATGCAGATAGTGGTGTCTATTGTGCTAAAGCTTTGGTGAGATTTCAAGCAATGCCTGCAATTCAGCTTCTGAACAAACCTTGATTTCTTGTCTAGGAGGGAAGGTGAGAAGAATGACTGGGCTGCCTCACCTGCTGCTGCTGCTTCTCTTCTGGCTCCTGCCACCACCTACTGCGAAGAGGCTGCAAACCGTATGTGTGTTAAGGAATTGTTTAAAATCACCAAAAAGCTACTACAGGCCTGGTGATCTCATTATTGGTGGGAATTTGCCTTTGGAAACCTTGCTTCTGCCCAAAGTTCCACACTTTCAAAATGACCCATTCATGCTTTCTATACCAACTTTGTAAGTTCCACCTTGATGGGAAATAAGTAGATAATTTTCCATTGAATCATAGAGCTGGAAAAGACCTTCTAGTCCAGTCCTCTCTTCAAGGCAGGAGCCTCATACCATCCCAGTCAAATTTCTGTCTGGTCTATTTTTGAAAACTTCCAGTGTTTTAATAAATGACTTAGAGGAGGGAATAGAAGGGGAACTTACCAAATTTGCAGATGATACTAAACTGGTAGGAATAGCTAACACCCTAGAACAGTGGTCCCCAACCTCCGGTCCGCGGACCGGTGCCGGGCCGTGGAGTACCTGGCACCGGGCC